CTTGAAAGGCAAGGTGCCCTTACAGACTTGCCTCACAGCTCTAAAATACCAAAACCCCAAGGATGTGGTTAAACTAAAAGCCTATGTTATGGAAAACCCGTAAGTAAAGGAAAAGCTGCAAAGGTTCAAAGGGAATATTGAACAAGCTGACCTAAAAAATGGTCTATCTAAACAAAAGGCTTAACAAAAATGACTGTGATTGTACACTTGTGTTAACTTTGCTGTTAATATAATTTTGCTGATGCCAAAAACTGTAAAAATGTATAATGTGCATGACTTATGGGAAAAATCCTCAAACATGCTGGAAGTGCTACATAAAAACACACCATGTAATAGAAACCCTTATAATTATGCTGTTTGGTTCAGTAAGAACATACTTTGCATTAGAAAGCCTAATAATGTTGAGGTTTCACAGCTAATGCCTAAGCACAATCCTAAAACTTTCCACAGCAGAAAAACCATTACAAGCTTGGACTGCTGTGCAAGAAGGGAAACTGAGGTACAACATCTCACAGCCTTCATGGCTGAATGTCAAAGTGCTCTCTGGAGAACATTGATGTCTATGTTAAGTTAGCACATAAATATGGACTAAGTTGTCAACTTGGGCCAAGGCATGCATCAATGATTTGGCCTTTCAAACAATTCAATATAAATACAGCTCCTATCAATATTGGAAGGTCCTTAAGGTGTATCCAGGAGCTCTAATTGCTCCCTTCCACACCAATCTCGCGTTGGGGGTGTGACGTTATCGGATTAAACCATGCAAACCATTGTTGCTACCACTGTTCTAGAATTGCAACAAATCTTATACAAAATGTAATGCATGTCCGGAAAGGGTTAAGTATCTTGCAGATAAATGATCCAGTTTCAACCATTAGAGACATGTTAGAAAGGTATGCAAATGGTAATTAGGTCCATTCCATAGTAGATAGGCTAGAATTTTGAAATGCAAACCTATATTATTAGAAGTTAGAAGCAGTACTAAGTGTCTGAGTGTACTCATAAATGTTAGCCATGTAAACAGACACTTCCTGTCTGTCACTGTAGCTACTGAATCAGAGATCAAAAGCTATAGTGAACCGCAGCCACTGGGAGCTGCGAGCGGCCATACCTGTGGACGCTCAGGGAAACAAAGTGTCTTGTGGCCTGCCAGGGGCTTACCCTGAACAAGCTGCAAACCAAGTTTAGGAACCCCTGGTCTAGCATCAACATCCAGTCAATAGATTGTGTTATACCTTTCTCTGCTAGAATGAAGTGCCTATTATTAAACATTTATCCCCCCGTAGGTACTTATAGATGGTAATCAAGTCCTCCCTTAACCTTCTTCTTTGTTAAGCTAAATACATAGACTCAAGGAGCTCAAATCACTACAAGACATGGTTTCTAATCCTCTAAATCATTATCATGGCTCTTCTCTGACCTCTCTCCAATTTAACAGTGCCATCTAGAGGTAAAAATCTCTCTTCTCCTACTCAAGATTCCTGTTTATACATCGAAAGATTGCATTAGACCTTTTGACCACAGCGCCACGCTGGGGACCTCATGTTCACCTGATTATACACCGAAGAAGTGAGGTTTTTACCCACGAAAGCTTATGCCCAAATAAATCTGTTAGTCTTTAAGGTGCCACCAGACTCCTTGTTGTTTTTGTAGATACATACAGACTAACACGGCTACCCCCTGATACTTGATTATACACCATGACCCCTAATTCTTTTTTTCCAGAGTCACTGCTTCCCAGGATAGAGTCCTCCATGGCTTACATTTTTTGTTCCTAGATGCATACATTTACATATTACAGATATTAAAACACATAGTGTTTGTTTGCACTCAGCTTACCAGGACATCCTGATCACCCTGTATCAGTGACCTGTCCTCGTCATTATTTACCTCTCTCCCAATTTTTGTGACATCTGCAAACCTTCTCGGTGATGACTGCATGTTTTCTTCCAGGTAATTGACAAAAATGTTAACTAGTGCAGGGCCAAGACCCAATCCCTGTAGGACACCAATATAAAAACATCTGCTCAATGATGATTCCCAGTTTACAATTACATTTTGAGACCTATCAGTTAGCCAGCTTTTAATCCATTTAATGTGTGCCAGGTTAACTTTATATTGTTCTAGTTTTTTTAATCAAAATGTTGTGCAGTACCAAATCAAATGCCTTACAGAAGTCCAATACATTAACACTATTACCTTTATCAACCAAACTTATAATCTCATTAAAAAAATATATCAAGTAGGTTTGTCAGGATCTATTTTCCATAAACCCATGTTGATTGATACCTTTAGCACCCTCAGATGCAGCGCATCCGGCCCCATGGATTTGGGCTCATCCAGTTTTTCTAAATAGTCCCGAACCACTTCTTTCTCCACAGAGGGCTGGTCACCTCCCGCCCCATACTGTGCTGCCCAGTCCAGCAGTCTGGGAGCTGACCTTGTTTGTGAAGACAGAGGCAAAAAAAGCATTGAGTACATTAGCTTTTTCCACATCCTCTGTCACTAGGTTGCTTCCCTCATTCAGTAAGGGGGCCACACTTTCCTTGACTTTCTTCTTGTTGGTAACGTACCTGAAGAAACCCTTCTTGTTACTCTTAACATCTCTTGCTAGCTGCAACTCCAAGTGCGATTTGGCCTTCCTGATTTCACTCTTGCATGCCTGAGCAATATTTTTATACTCCTCCCTGGTCATTTGTCCAATCTTCCACTTCTTGTAAGCTTCTATTTTGCGTTTAAGGTCAGCAAGGATTTCACTGTTAAGCCAAGCTGGTCACCTGCCATATTTACTATTCTTTCTACACATCGGGATGGTTTGTTCCTGCAACCGCAATAAGGATTCTTTAAAATACAGCCAGCTCTCCTGGACCCCTTTGCCCTTCATCTTATTCTCCCAGGGGATCCTGCCCATCTGTTCCCTGAGGGAGTCAAAGTCTGCTTTTCTGAAGTCCAGGGTCCGTATTCTGCTGCTCTCCTTTCTTGCTAAAGGAGTTGGCGGATGTCATTGCGGAGCCATTGGCCATCATCTTTGAAAACTCATGGCGATCGGGGGAGGTCCCGGATGACTGAAAAAAGGCTAATGTAGTGCCCATCTTTAAAAAAGGGAAGGAGGAGGATCCGGGGAACTACAGGCCAGTCAGCCTCCCCTCAGTCCCTGGAAAAATCATGAAGCAGGTCCTCAAGGAATCAATTATGAAAGACTTAGAGGAGAGGAAAGTGATCAGGAACAGTCAGCATGGATTCACCAAGGGGAAGTTGTGCCTGACTAACCTAATTGCCTTCTATGAGGAGATAACTGGTTCTGTGGATGAGGGGAAAGCAGTGGATGTGTTATTCCTTGACTTTAGCAAAGCTTTTGATACGGTCTCCCACAGTATTCTTGCCGCCAAGTTAAAGAAGTATGGGCTGGATGAATGGACTGTAAGGTGGATAGAAAGCTGGCTAGATCGTCAGGCTCAACGGGTAGTGATCAATGGCTCCATGTCTAGTTGGCAGCCGGTTTCAAGCGGAGTGCCCCAAGGGTTGGTCCTGGGGCCGGTTTTGTTTAATATCTTTATTAATGATCTGGAGGATGGTGTGGCCTGCACTCTCAGCAAGTTTGCAGATGACACTAAACTGGGAGGCATGGTAGATACACTGGAGGGTAGGGATTGGATACAGAGGGACCTAGACAAATTAGAGGATTGGGCCAAAAAAAACCTAATGAGATTCAACAAGGACAAGTGCAGAGTCCTGCACTTAGGACGGAAGAATCCTATGCACTGCTACAGACTAGGGACCGAGTGGCTAGGCAGCAGTTCTGCAGAAAAGGACCTAGGGGTCACAGTGGACGAGAAGCTGGATATGAGTCAACAGTGTGCTCTTGTTGCCAAGAAGGCTAACGGCATTTTGGGCTGTATAAGTAGGGGCATTGCCAGCAGATCGAGGAACGTGATCGTTCCCCTTTATTCGACATTGGTGAGGCCTCATCTGGAGTACTGTGTCCAGTTTTGGGCCCCACACTACAAGAAGGATGTGGAAAAATTGGAAAGAGTCCAGCGGAGGGCAACAAAAATGATTAGGGGTCTGGAGCACATGACTTATGAGGAGAGGCTGAGGCAACTGGGATTGTTTAGTCTCCAGAAGAGAAGAATGAGGGGGGATTTGATAGCTGCTTTCAACTACCTGAAGGGGGGTTCCAAAGAGGATGGAGCTCGGCTGTTCTCAGTGGTGGCAGATGACAGAACAAGGAGCAATGGTCTCAAGTTGCAGTGGGGGAGGTCTAGGTTGGATATTAGGAAACACTATTTCACTAGGAGGGTGGTGAAGCACTGGAATGCGTTACCTAGGGAGGTGGTGGAATCTCCTTCCTTGGAGGTTTTTAAGGCCCGGCTTGACAAAGCCCTGGCTGGGATGATTTAGTCGGGAATTGGTCCTGCTTTGAGCAGGGGGTTGGACTAGATGACCTCCTGAGGTCCCTTCCAACCCTGATATTCTATGATTCTAATTATATTACCATCCTTTTGATTCTTTATTTATTGAGCTCTATATCAGCTGCTCCATTATCTTGCCTGGGATCAAAATCAGAATGACTGGCCTATAATTACCCAGGTCATCCCATTTACCCCTTTTAATTGTTGACCCAATAATTAGCTGTCTTCTAGAACTTCCCCAGCGTTCCAAGATTTACTGAAAATCAACATTAATGGTTCAGCGAGCTCCTCAGCCAGCTCTTTTAAAACTCTTGGATAGGGGTGGCTCCAGGCACCAGCGCACCAAGCGCGTGCCTGGGGTGGCAAGCTGTGGGGGGGCAGCGTGCCAGTCGCCTTGAGGGCGGCAGTCAGGCTGCCTTCAGCAGCATGCCTGTGGGAGGTCCGCCGGTCCCGCGGTTTCGGCGGCAATTTGGCGGCGGGTACGCCAAAGGCACGGGACCGGCGGACCTCCTGCAGGCATGCCGCCAAATGCCGCCTGAGTGCCTTGCTTGGGGCGGCAAAATACATAGAGCCGCCCCTGCTCTTGGATGAAAGTTATCTGGACCTGCTGATTTAAACATGTCGAACTTTAATAGCTGCTGTTTAACATCCTCCAGAGCTACTAGTGAAGTGGCAAAAGTGTTATCATATGATATGATTACATCATTCCTCCCCCCCCCCCCATATGCAGACGTATTTATTGAGCACTTCTGCCTTTTCTGCATTATTATTGATAATTCTACCATTTCCATCTAATAGTGGACCAACACCACTGTTAGAATTCTTTTTGTTCCTAATATATGCCTTTGACTCTTTGTGCCCACATATTTCACCTACATTAATGCAACAGGCTGTGAGAAGGGTTGGAGTGCTGGATAGAGAAGTGGTTGAAAAACTGAAAGTGAGTGCTCTTTGCCCTCAGTGCTTAAGGGCATGCGTCCTATTGCCACCCACAACAAGCCCAGAGACAGGCAGCTCTGCACTCTTCTGCCCCATACTGCTAAAGTGGGGATGATTCTAAAGACACTATACACCAAACAAACAAGAAATCACAATCTTGCACTGGTGACATTTTATTTCATTTTGTTCTGATCCTGATCCTGCTGCTCTGACCACACATCTCACAGCCTCTATAGAAGAGCCCAGAAACCTGCCTCTTTAATACAGCACTGCAATCCATGACAGCTGCAGGTCCCAGCATGAAATGCAGCTGCTGCACCTAGATCAGAATGGAGCATTGCATGCAGAGTCCAACAATCGCCATGGGTGTTAGTTTGTATGAGGCAAGAGTGGGGGTAATTTGCTTCACTCTACACACATTAGGGTGTAACTTCTGTAAAATGGCCATGGCTGGGGAGAGCTTGGGTCCTACCCCCAGCCACAAAGGCAATTTGATTATATGGGTGAACAAACATCACTGCTAGAAACAAACACACAAATAGGTCTGTCTGTGCCTTGTGCACCTCAGGGAATCCACTGTGAATTTCAGCACCAGCAACTTTGGCTGAAGTGGAAGCTTCCACTGCAGCAAGACATGAAGGGTACTGTTGAGTGCCAGATCCTGCTAACTGAATCCTCATGTATCGAACTAAAGAGCCAGCTGAGACAGGGAACTGTAGCAGGACAAGAGGAGAGGGTAAAGAGACATCAAATCCTGCAGTTTTCCCTGTCAGGGGATGTGATCTGACATCAGAAATCCTGCAGGCCCCCTCTCTACTCAGCAGAGAATGGGGGTGGCTAAGCCTGCCAGAGATGTTACGCAGGTATGGGTCTCAACTGGCCCTGCTGTACAAGTGGAACATGGCAAAACACTCACCATATGCTAAATTAAAACTTAATTCAACAGGTAAACAGGACCCCCTCCCTCCAGCCCTGACACCAACACACAGGAAGGCCCATTACCTAAGGCTTGTCCCGGGAAAGGTGGCAATCCCAGGAGCAGGCTACAACTAGCTCAGGGGAGAAGGCACCTGCAGAGCTCACTTACAAGGAGAAGCAGCACCTAAGACTTGAGAGGGAATGAGGACACCAAACTAGGGCAAGGCCACCCCATGGCAGCAATACGCAGTGCTTTGCTACTGTGTATGAGCTCTGTCCTGCAGGTGGGGGGTGGCTGCTATGAAGTGTGAACCTATAACACAGCACAAGCCATCCGCACTGATCTCACACGTCCCCAGACTGTAGTGTGCTGGCAGACAAGTTTGCTGCCACGTGCCTCTGCAAGGCAAGGGTACAGACAGCTGGTCTCTAGCCACAGACTGGAGGAAGCGCTCCCTCCCCACTTTTAGGGACCAGTCAGTGCTCAGCCGTAAAGGAGGCAGGTGCTGAAGGGTACATTAGCCCACTGCAAACACTCTAGCTTTTGGCAGGGTGATGTCCTACCCCATCAGGCAGGCCTGGGTTCCTAAACTGCTGGGCAGTGCTGAGTTTGGAGATTAGTGTAGTAAAGGGATGGTGCTTTATGGCAATGACCTAAGGGGGAGACAGCACTCAGTGTCTGAGTCTCAGAGGCCGCCCCTTTAAGCACCTGAGGTAGCACTGGGCTGCAGGTGCTCAAGCTAGAGCATCTGTGCCCCACCCCAGAAACTGCTCAGGATCTGCACACACTCCCCCAAAGGAACTCACTCCCCCAACTGAGACCTGCACAGCCAGTGCGAGAGATCCACCAAGGAAACCTGTCCTCACCGAAGCTGAGGATCCCTAAGAGGAGGACAACAAAAGCAGAGACTAAAATATTTAAAATCACTAAATAAGCAACTAACATAACCTGAACTCAGCCTGTAACTAGGGCACAAACTACACTGGATACCCTGCTCGTGCCACTGTCCACGGGAGGGAGTGACGCTGTGCCATGACCTGGGCTCCTGGCTCCTCTGCCTCCAATGATCTATTTCCTGCCCCGTTTGCGGATGGTTTTTGGAGTTTCTGCTCTCTGTGCAGCTTGGGGCTCCTCCTCCTCCTCCTCGCTGCTCCTGCTCTCATTGTCCCCCAGCTGGGAATGCCCCCGCTTACTCCTCCTTCTGCTTCTCTCGGCCCCTGCCCCAAGGAGCTTCTTGGCAGATACAGTCCCAGGCCTTTTCTTCCTGCTCCGGGCTGCAGTACGCTTCTTTCGCTGCTTTCTCTGCTCATCTTCTCTCTGGCGGATTTTCATCAGCTTCTCAAAGCTTTTTTTGTTAGTGGTATTCACATCAAACCAGTCCTGGAGGGTTCAGAAAGCAGAGGGTTAGTACTGGGGGAGGGGATACAATGGAGGTGCCTGTCATGTTCCACTGCTGGGACCACCCACAGGGCAGGGATTAGCAGAGAAATGGGATCCGAGAATTAGGCTGGCCAGCACAGCGTTATTTTTACCAGTTGCTGGGCAGATTCCATCCTGCTCTCTGGGGGCTCACTGGATTCTGCAATGGGTTGGCTAATACTGAAGGATATGGAAGGTGCTGGCAAAATGAACAGAGTGGCAGCAGCATGGGACAAGGGCTAGGACTTGGCACTTTGAAGGGGGCAGGGCACCGCGCTCTTCTCACCTCAGCATGCACAGAGTTGATGTGATACTTGACCCCGCTCTCGGATATGAATTCCTTCTCACATAGGAGACACTTGTATTTCCCAGCCACGAAGTCTCCCTGCCACCAAAACAGAAAACACATCACCAGATGCCACCCTCCTCTCTGCCCAGTGACGCTGAAAGGCCCAGACCCTGCACCCAAGGCATGGCCAGACATGATCCAGCAGTGAGGAGACAGAGCACAAAATCCCTGAACTCATCCAAGAGGGTGCGCACTTGGGTCACAGCAGCACAGAAACTGATGCCCAAGTGCGCCCTGAGAGAATGAGGGTGGAACCAGCTCCAGCTACTCCCCAAGTAACCTCCATCACTGCTGGAGGCCTTGCAGGTCTCACACAGGGGGAGTGTATCTGGTAAAGGTGCTCTTGTAGCCATGAGATTGCAGGCAGGACAGTGACTCAGGTACAGGTGTAAAGGACATACAGTCTTACTGCCTCACAGCGCATTTGTGATGCAGATCCATTAATACTGGGGAGGCAGTCAGACACTGTGGAGAAGGGGCTATTAAAGAGCATTGACAGACAAGGATCCAGCAGGCCAATGACTGATGTGCACGTATCTGGGGAACAACAACAGTGGGGTGCATGTATGAAAGAGACTGTATAGAAATGGTACAAACCAAGGTGCAGGTGCTGAGGTGAGATTTGAGTCCGGAGACACTGCCATATACAGACTCACAGCCCTGAAATGAGAGAAAGGCAACAGCTGTCAGCAAGACACAGTTGAGAAATCAGTTCCCCATGCACAGAAATGCTTTTTCCTCTGGGATGGTCCTTCCTTAGAAGGGAGAAAGCAAAGAAAGGATACACAGTTTGATAAGACCAGACATGACAGGGATGGGGAGAAGAGAGCCCTTTGCAAATAGATTTGTTTAAAACTCCAATAAATGAAATAATTCCCACCTCTGGGCAAGTGTGCAACTCTCAGACAAAATAAAGAGACTCTAGCCAGCAATGAGCTGCTGAGAGAGATGATGCCCATTCTACTAAACCCCCGAGTGAATTGATAGGGTTTGCATCATGCCCTGAAGGTCCACCAACCTGGGCTCTGTCAGAGAAATGGGTGGGGGTAATTACCAGAGTCTAGGACTCTTCCTCCACATTCACAGATGGGGAAAGTACTGCAGCTGACCTCAATGGTCCCAGCTGTCATTGGGAAAGGGGCACCTCTATGACTAGACCCGGTAGTGCTTTGAATACCAATCACACCACCTTGAATTGTGCTCACAAGGAAGCCAGTGCAGAATCTGGAGCACAGGGAGCAACCTGCTTCATGTGGAAAATGCTGGTGGGGCAGTGGCTGCTGCACTGGGTCATCTACAGAACATTATAATACTCCAAGGCATGTTGATGATAGAGCCCTAAATAAACACAGCAAGGTCCATTGCATAGAAAGGGTTGTAGTGGGGCAGCCCCCTGTCCCAGTCGAGGAGGAGTTAAAGAGCTCCTCTGGGTTCAAACAAGCCCAACCTGTTGCACCTGTAATGCTTGTGAGTCCTGGAGAAGCGTGGGGAGAATACTGGCTCAGGCACGGTCTGTGGGTGGCTTTCAGGAGCAAAGAGAGCTAGTGCTGAACTCCTTAGCCCCAGGAAACAGGGTCTATCTGCTGATGAAACGTTGAGAGCACCCTGAGCCCTCTGAAGAAACAGAGGGACCAGTTTTTCCTTACTTTTATTTTCAGCATCCTGGGACTCAGCCCTGGGTTGTTTGGACACACAAGGGATAAGGAGCCCAGACCTTCCTCCTAAGACTACTGGTCTTTGCCCTGCATGAGGCTGTGGGGACATGGCCCCTTTCATGGACCGTGGAGGTATTTTCATTTTTCCTTTTGGACTACTCTAACCCCCTGGAAGAGCAGAGGCTCAAATCTGACCTGGCAGCCTCCCCATCATGATGGAGGAGTGGCTGGGCCAAACCCGAGTGGTGCTGTGTAAGTTCAGTATAAACCCTTCTCAAACTGCCACCATTCTACTGAGACAGCAATCAAAGGAGCTAACCATGCAGTTTATGTATCATGTGCTCTTTGGGGCACTTGAGTCCCATCAACAGCATTGTCCCACTTAGGAAACAGGGTAGGCAGTAGAGTTTTCCCACAGTGCACCACTTTCGTAGGGCTAGAGTGTTCACGGGGGGGATGGGGACGGGGGACTAGGCACTCTGGGATAGAAGTACTTTGACTCGGATCTGTGCACAGCAGTGTGGACACCAGAACCCTAGGTTCAGAAAATCCTTAACCTAGGGTTAAAATGCAGTGTAGACGCTCAAGCCCAGGGTTCCTGACATGGGTCAGCTGACTCAAATCCCACTAACCCAAGGCTTACATTGCTATGTAGACATACCACAAGGAGAAAGGATTACGAAACATAAGAAAATGATTCCCAGTTCTTAGCCTGGGTTAGCCATAAAGGACATTAATTGCTGTGTAGACATAGCCTGACACCCACAGCTGTCCCATGCCAGCTGACTCGGGCTGCAGGGCTGTTTCATTGCAGTGTAGACGTCTGGGCTTGAGCTGGAGCCGAGGCTCTAGGACCCTGCACAGTGGAAGGATCCTAGAAGTCTGCACTGCAATGAAACAGCCCCAGGAGCCCAAGTCAGCTGGCATGGGGCAGCCACAGGGTTTTCTTGGCACAGTAGACATACCCATAGATTTTGCTTATTACCACCAAAGACTCTTACGTAAATTAAGTTGTCATGGGATAAGAGGGAAGATCTTTTCATGGACTGAGAACTGGTTAAAAGACAGGGAACAAGGGGTAGGAACAAATGGTAAATTTTCAGAATGGAGAGGGGTAACTAGTGGTGTGCCCCAACGGTCAGTCCTAGGACCAATCCTACTCAACTCATTCATAAATGATCTGGAGAAAGGGGTAAAAAGTGAGGTGGCAAAGTTTGCAGACGATACTAAACTGCTCAAGATAGTTAAGACCAAAGCAGACTGTGAAGAACTTCAAAAAGATCTCACAAAACTAAGTGATTGGGTAACAAAATGGCAAATGAAATTTAATATGAATAAATGTAAAGTAATGCACATTGGAAAAAATAACCCCAACTATACATACAATATGATGGGGGCTAATTTAGCTACAACTAATCAGGAAAGAGATCTTGGGAGTCATCGTGGATAGTTCTCTGAAGACGTCCACGCAGTGTGCAGCGGCAGTCAAAAAAGCAAACAGGATGTTAGGAATCATTAAAAAAGGGATAGAGAATAAGACGGAGAATATCTTATTGCCCTTATATAAATCCATGGTATGCCCACATCTTGAATACTGCGTACAGATGTGGTGGTCTCATCTCAAAAAAGATATACTGGCACTTGAAAAGGTTCAGAGAAGGGCAACTAAAATGATTAAGGGTTTGGAATGGGTCCCATATGAGGAGAGGTTAAAGAGGGTAGGACTTTTCAGCTTGGAAAAGAGGAGACTAAGGGTACGTCTATACTTACCTCCAGGTTCGGCGGTAAGCAATCTATCTTCTGGGATCGATTTATCGCGTCTTGTCTAGATGCGATAAATCGATCCTGGAAGTGCTCACCGTCGAAACCGGTACTCCTGCTCCACGAGAGGAGTACGCGGAGTCGACGGGGGAGCCTGCCTGCCGCGTGTGGACCCGCGGTAAGTACCTTGTAGTTCGAACTAAGATACTTAGACTTCAGCTACGTTATTCACGTAGCTGAAGTTGCGTATCTTAGTTCGAACTGGGGGGTTAGTGTGGACCAGCCCTAAGGGGGGATATGATAGAGGTTTACCAAATCATGAGTGGTGTGGAGAAAGTGAATAAGGAAAAGCTATTTACTTGTTCCCATAATATAAGAACTAGGGACCACCAAATGAAATTAATGGGCAGCAGGTTTAAAACAAATAAAAGGAAGTTCTTCTTCACACAGCGCACAGTCAACCTATGGAACTCCTTGCCTGAGGAGGTTATGAAGGATAGGACTATAACAGGGTTTAAAAGAGAACTAGATAAATTCATGGAAGTTAAGTCCATTAATGGCTATTAGCCAGGATGGGTAAGGAATGGTGTCCCTAGCCACTGTTTGTCAGAGGGTGGAGACGGATGGTAGGAGAGAGATCACTTGATCATTACCTGTTAGGTTCACTCCCTCTGGGGCACCTGGCATTGGCCACTGTCGGTAGACAGGATACTGGGCTGGATGGACCTTTGTTCTGACCCAGTATGGCAGTTCTTAGGTTCTTATTATAGAAGCTTCTATTATTTTTTTAAACTTAAGACTGGAACTCATTTGTGTGTATTATGTTTATCACCTGCTTTATCCTTGTAAGTAACTTGTTTCCTTTTCCTATATAATAAATCTTTAGATAGTTTATTATAGGATTGGCTACAAGCATTGTTTCTGCTGTGAGACCTAAAGTGCAACTGACCTGGAGTAAGTGACTGATCCTTTGGGACTGGAAGTAACCTGAACACTGCTGTGATCTTTGAGGTAAGGGATCATCTATCACAAAGGTAAGCTTACCTGGGTGGCAAGACAGATGGAAGTACCCAAGTGGACTGTCTGAGACTCCACTGTGAGGCTGTTATCGCGCTTGAGGAGTATACACTTGATAATTGGTTGGTGAAATCTAACTAATCTAATAAAACTCTCAACCAATTTGGGGTTTGTGTCCTGTTTCTTAACAGTCTGCCCTGAGGTTGGTACCCATGCTCTTGAGCCACTGCAAGAGAGCTTGACACGTATGTTATGTGATGGGGTAAATAACACTTCCGTGTTCACTTTCTCCACACCATTCAGGATTTTATAGACCTCTATCCTTCCCTGCTCAGTCATCTCTTTTCCAAGCTGAATAGTCCCAGTCTTTTTAATCTCACATTTTATGGAAGTTGTTCCATACACCTAATCATGTTTGTTGCCCTTCTTTGTACTTTTTCCCATTCTAATACATCTTTTTTGAGATGGGTGACCAGAACTGCATGCAGTGTTCAAGATGAGGGTGTACCATGTCTGTTTAATTACCAATCCCTTCCCTAACGGGTCCTAACATTCTATTAGCATTTTTGACTGCTGCTGCACATTCAGTAGATGTTTTCAAAGAACTATTCATAATGACTCCAAGATCTCTCTTGAGTGGTAACAGCTAATTTAGACCCCATCCTTTTGTATGTATAGTTGGGATATTATCTAATGTGCATTACTTCGCATTTATCAACACTGAATTTCATCTGACATTTTCTTGCCCAGTCACTCAGTTTTGTGAGACCCCTTTGTAAACTGTTCACAATCAGCACTGGACTTCGCTTTCTTGAGTAATTCTATAGTGTCTGCAAACTTTGCCACCTCACTGTTTACCCATTTTTCCAGATCATTTATGAATATGTTAAACAGCACTGGTCCCAGTACAGATCCTTGGGGAACCTTGCTATTTACCTCTCTCCACTATGAAAACTGACCCTTTATTCCTATCCCTTGTTTCCTACCTTTTAACCAGTTACTGATCCATGAGAGGACCTTCCCTCTTACCCCATGACAGCTTAGTGAGGCAGGATTTCCATTTACAAAAGCTGTGTTGGCTCTTCCCCAACATATCATGTTCATCTGTGTGTCTGATAATTCTGTTCCCTAATCGTTTCAACCAATTTGCCTGGTACCAAAGTTAGGCTCACCGGTCTGTAATTGCGAGCCTTTTTAAAAATTAAGTGTCACATTAGCTATCCTCCAGTCAGAGGCTGATTTAAGTGATGGTTACATACCACAGTTAGTAGTTCTGCAATTTCATATTTAAGTTCCTTCAGAAATCTTGAGTGAATACAATCTGGTCCTCGTGATCAATTTGTTCCTAAACCTCTGGCACTTCAGCAGTCCCTGAAGGCTGCGAACCTCATGACAAATGTGGGCAAAGCCTCATACTATAGGACAGCTCCCCCACACAACCACATATGCTTTAGTAATCCCCCCCATGCAGTATCACCTGTTTCTTATTTGTCATGAACCTCAGCAAGCTCACTGCCATTCAAGCCCCTACCTCAGACAGACACTGGGAAAGCAGGGATGTATAGTCTGGATCCAATGAAAAGACAGAGCTGTATGTTGTCAACATGATGATGGCACCATACCCAAACTGCATCTCTACCCACCAAGTGGCCTCAGATATAGGAGGGCTGAGAATACAACTCTCCAGGATTCCTCACTGGAGTCCTTGGGCATGGATGAGCATTTCCCAGCACTTTCCCAAGGATCTCTGACAGGGAAGTAGAGACATTTCTCTTCTATGAGGAGTCCCACAGTCCAGGCAGCCATGGGTATGATAATATTGTAGGATGCTGTCATACTGAACAGAATCAGCATGGACATCTGGCCTTCACCCATCACTAACCAGAGAGACCAGTGCAGTGTCCATACTAAACCCAGACCTAAAGCCCAGGCAACAACGATCTAGAAAATACCAGGGCTCTGCCTGCAGGCACTGCGGCTTCTCTAACCCCTCAAGAGCCTTCCTCTGGAAAGTCCGGGTGGAGTTTGCAAAATTCTCAACAGTAAGTGATGGTTCCTAGGGAATGGACTAATGCCCACTCAGTTCTTACTCACCTTTGGAGAGACACTAACAGTGTCCACCAATGGACCCAATAGTTCCCCACTGGATTTTTCTAGCCATAACAACACAGGATCATCTCTTGAGAAGCAACCTAAATGTTTCCCAGGCACATCCAGAACCTCAGTAAGAAACTGACAGATATTCACCCTGAGAGCAAGTAGTGTTTGATTCCTCCAGACACAGAGATGAACCTTGATTTTGGCCTTGTGGAAGTCTCTCAACTCATTGCTGCAAAGCCTGGCCAGACTAAACTATTTTTCTAAGGTCCTCAGACTTGGTCTCTTCAGTGCTTTAGAAAGAACTGGCGGTTAGTTACCTGGTTTGGACAGTGGACCCTTCGGTACATCTTTATCTCCGATTTCCACTTGCACAACACATCCTGACTAAATGTGGGCAGTCCAGGCCGCGTGTATTTCAGCTGAGACAGAAGAATAGAGGCAGAATCTGAAGTCAGATGGCAGGATGGCTACACACAGGGTCAGGCATGCTACTCTTAAGTTTTAAGGCTGTTTCCCCACAGTAGACACTTCCCTTGTAGTAAACTTCCCTCCCAATCTAACAGTGAAACTCAATGAATAACCTTCCCCAGCACCACTGAGTGACTCTCCACAAGCTTGGCTAAGCCCCCACCCCACCTCACTCATAGACTCATAGACTTTAAGGTCAGAAGGGACCAATATGGTCATCTAGTCTGACCTCCCGCATGATGCAGGCCACAAAAGCTGACCCACCCACTTTCCCTTAACTCTGCTGTTGAAGTCTCCAGATCGTGATCTAAAGACTTCAAGTCGCAGAGAATCTTCCAGCTTGCGACCCCTGCCCTATGCTGCGGAGGAAGGCGAAAAACCTCCAGGGCCACTGCCAATCTACCCTGGAGGAAAATTCCTTCCTGACCCCAAATATGGCGATCAGCAGAACCCCGAGCATACAGGCAAGATTCTCTAGCCAGACCCTCAGTTTACCAGCGATGGCCGTTTTTGCCTAATTGATTAAAATCACCTAATCCCATCAAACCACTCCTGGCATCCAAAACTTCCCCCAAACTCACACTGGAGTGATTCCTCCCACCCTCAGTTACATAAAAGAGTAGGACCTGGGCCCCTCTCCCTCACAGATTCACACAAATGTAGGCCTGAAAGGGATCTCAAGAGGTCATCTAGTCCATTCCCCTGTGCTGAGACAGGACCAAGTACCTTGACCATCCGGGACAGGTGTTTGTTTAATCTGTTCCTAAAACCCCCCAAGAGTGGGCATTCTACAACCTCCCTAGGTAACCTGTTCCAGTGCTTAACTATCCTTACAGTTGCAAAGTTTTTCCTCATATCTAACCTGAATCTCCCTTGCTACAAACTAAGCTGATTTCTTCTTGTCCTACGTTCAGTGGATATGGAGAACAACTGATCATCATTCTCTTTATACAATCTTTTTACATATTTAAAGATTGTTTTAATGTTGTCCTTCCACTCCCCAGCTATATTCATAGATTCTAAGGCCAGAAGGGACCACTATGATCATCTAGTTTGACCTCCTGTATAACACAGGCCATAGAACTTCTCTAAAATGATTCCTAAGGCAGATCTTTTAGAAAAACATCCAATCTTGATTGAAAAATGGTCAGTGATGGAGAATCGGCCATGACCCTTGGTAAATTGTTCCAATGGTTAATTACTCTCGCAGTTAAAAATCAACTCCCAGCCTTTGGATCATGTTATACTTTTCTCTGCTAGACTGAAGATCCTGTTATTAAATATTTGTTCCCCAAATAGGGGCACTAAACTAAGGGTAGGGTTCTCTAAACTAAACATGTTCAATTTTTTCAACCTTTCTTCACAAATCAGGTTTTCTAAACCCTTTTTTTTTTGTTCATCTCTGGGCTCTCTCCAATATGTTCAAATTTTTCTTAAAATGTGGTGCCCAAGACTGGACATATTCCAGCTGAGGCCTCACAAGTGCTAAGTAGATCAGAAAAGATTATTACTTATCTGTGCCACAACTGCTGTTCTTCAAGATGTGGGTGGAGATATATATTCCAATCAGGTGTGTAGGTACCCAGCGCACCAAAGTTGGAGAATTTTGCCATGGGGTGGCACTCATGCACTGTCATAACCCCTCCTATGGTTATATAAGAGTGGCAGCACTCTGACCCCTCCCCCCCAGTTCCTTTGCCCTGAAACCCAGCTGCAGACTCAGAAGGGACAGACGGTGGGTTGTAAAATACAAGTCTGCATCCACGTCTCAAAGAACAGTTAAGACACAGGTAAGTAACAGTCTTTTCTTCTTCAAGGGTGCAGACATATATTCCTCTCAGGTGACTCACAAGCAGTTTCAGCAGGAGGTGGAGCTCAGAGTCTATTTAAACAGTGACTGCAGAACTGTCTTACCAAAGTTTGCATCAGATCTTGATGCCAGGGTGATAGCATAATGTCTAACAAAAGTATGAATAGAAGACCTTGTTGCAGCCCTGCAAATATCCAATGTGGAGACATTGCTAAGAAATGCAATTGATGTCACTTGAGCTCCTGTTGGATAAGACTGTAATGACTAAGCTGGCATCATATGAGCAATTCCATAAGCCAAGGAAATACAGTTATACAGTTATCCACTTGGAAAAAGTCTGAGCGGAGACTAGTTATCCTTTCATCTGCTCAGCACAGAGTCGAAATAACGTACCAAGTGGCTTATCCCTTTCTAAATAGAATGATAAGCACCGTCTGACATCTAAGGTATGTACATGTTGCTCCTTCACAGTTGAACATGGTTTGGGAAAAAATATAGGTAAGAAAATAACCCAATTAAAGGTGAAACAGATACCACTTTGGACAAAAATGTTGAGTGCGATCTTAAAGACATCTTGTCCTTGAAGAATTGAGTGTCTGGAGGATCTGCCATTAAAGCTTGTGTATTGCTGATTTTTCTTGAGGATGTTATAGTCATAAAGAAGGCCTCTTCCGGAAGAGGAGAGCCAATGAGCAGGTTATCAGCTCAAATGATGGACCCATCAGTGCTGCCACCACCATATTAAGTTCCCACAATGGCACCGTTTCCTTCACTGGTGGAAAAAGGCGAACAATATCTTTAAAAAACTTCATCATCATAGGGTCTGAGAATATTGACTTTCCTTGGATGGGAGGATGGAAAGCTGAGATTGCAGCCAAATGATTTTGCAGGGAGCTAAGAGCTAGGCCTGAGAGTACAGAGTTGCTTGCAAATCCTTAAATGAACAAAGTCTCAACCGTTTTGTCTTAGAATATAAATTGACCATCAGAAGATAGGTCTTCCACACTCTGTTGGATAACTGGTGCTATTCCTGAATTCTGCAACCATGGTGCTCTTCTTATTGTGAACACTGAAGCAAATACTTTGATAGCCATAACAGCTATGTCCAGGACCAATAGAAAATAGGTCTTAACAACCAGGTGGCCCTCCGCAACAAATGCCTTGAACTCCTCTTGAAAGGATTTGGTAATTTGTCTGTGAACTTGGCTACAGAGTCACAGTTCATAAAATTATATTTGGATAGCAGTGCCTGCTGGTTTGCAATTTACATTTTTAAGGAGGAAGTTGAGTAAATCTTTCCGGCCATGAGACCAAACCTCTTTACCTCTGTCCTGGGGCATGGACTTGTACCTCTCTTGATGCGACCTCTCATTGGCTGCTATCACAACAAGCAAGTTAAGAGCAGGATGTGAAAAAAAATACTTGAATCCCTGCATAGGGACATAACACTTGCTCATATGCTTTGCCATAGACGTCAAAGGGTGTTCCACAAGGCCATGGCAGATTGCAACAGTGCTTTGCTAATAGGGCGAGCTACTCTCCCTGGGGTTGAGGACGGAAGAATGTCCACTAACTTGTCAAGTATCAGGGGGTAGCCGTGTTAGTCCGAATCTGTAAAAAGCAACAGAGGGTCCTGTGGCACCTTTAAGACTAACAGAAATATTGGAGCATAAGTGTTTTCCTGCACCAATTCAGCCTTATACACCCAAGGCAGAAGCCAGTTGTCTAAGAAGCTCCTGATGTGCCCAAAAGTCCTCAGGCACTGGAAAGGAAGCATCTGGTACTCAGGTGTCATCTGGTGATGAGGACTAAGGAAGGGGGTTCACTGGCCTTTCAGTGCAGTACCAGACCCTGTGCATATGTCTGAGGTTGCACATGTTCTGAGGTGTCATCCTCCACCTGAATTTGCACCTGGGCAGCTGGCACTAACGACTGTCGGAAGACAGGATACTGAGCTAGATGGACCTTTGGTGTGACCCAGTATGGCTGTTCTTATGTAGGTGGCTGGAGAGGTGATGCCATGGATTTGTTGGGTAATCTTGCTCTGGAGTGGGTTGAAAATTGGGAGCTTAAGGAACAAGGAACATCCCATGGACTCCCATGCCACGATGGAGATGGGTAAGGAATCAGTGGCCAGTAAACAGTGAGCCAAGAGCCCCTTTCTCTGCAGCAGGAAAAGTCCTGGTCAGTATCAGCAGGAGGTCTGGGCTGTCCCTAGACTGGCATTTGAAAGACAAAGGAGTGGGGAGGAGGACAACCTTGAGCTTGACCTAGATGAATACCCAGAATCATCCAGAGTTAATGGGGGAGCAACCCCCAAGGGGCAAGTCACCATCCAGCCTCCTCGGTCCAACATGGTGGTAACATCAATCCCGAGGCCGGTAAATAAGTTGGTGCTCTGAAGATTGGCAGAGGCAATGCACTCTCTCTCGGTACCGATGCCAAAAGACGCATTGATGCTGGGGTCAGTACCGATCCTCATGACATGGTTTGAATCATGATCACCGTTGGTTCCGAAGCTGACTGCTCTGCCAATGAATCCCTCAGCACCGGTGAAGGTGCCAGCCTCAACTGTGTACTCAGAGCAATATGCAGTGCTGGCATCTGGGACACCTGTGTAATTAACCCCGACGGTGGGGTCATTACTTAGGAAGTCGCAGCAGCTGAATGTTCCTAGATAACTGGAGAATCAGGAACCAAAAGGCATAGCAGATCTGATACTGCCTGGTACGCCAGAGGCGTGGACACTGTCCGTGTCAATGCCGTCACTACTGGACTCAATGGACGATGCCAGAGTTGGCAGACAGCCTCAAGTTGATGTTGCCTGGTACCAGAGGGCAGGTAGAAGGCCCAGTTCCACCACACATACCTGAAGAGTCATGGTGCCAGTCTGCACTGATTCTGGCAAAGGAAGATGACACTCCCCGAAATCTGGAGTGACTACAGTCTGTTTTATTGGTCCTTTTTCCCGGTGAGCCTGAGTAACAGTCAACGATCCCTCTTCCTCAGAGTCCGGACAAGGAACATCGGCTCGTTGTGGCTCTGATGACATCTGAGGAGCTGGTACTATTTCTGGTGCTGACGCAGGCCTCCTGGCCTGCCCCATCAGGTGCTGCTTGAGTCTCAAGTCCCTTGCCACTTGCGTTCTTTTCTTAAAGATTTGCAGACGAAGCACCTCTCCCAACACAATAAACACTGTGTGTGGGGAATCACTATTAGGAATAGCCACCCCACGCGAAAGACAGTGCTTGAATCCTGATGAAGGCATTCCACCAAAAAAACAAAGCTATTTAACCTAACTCACTAGTCTAACTAAGGTACTACTAGCTAACGAACTACTGTAATTATTTACAACTAAATCTCAGAAGACTGAGGTATGAAAATCCATGTGAAGAAACACCACACTGAGCGCCCCGACTAGCTCTGGGCAGTGAGAAGGAAATGATGGGGCTCAGAGAAGCGCCACCCTTATATAGCCATGGCAGGGGCTATGAGGGACGAGCGTGAGTGCCACTCCTAGGGTACTGCTAGGCAATATTCTCTGATTTCAGTGCGCTGGGCATACACACACTTCTTTGAGTAGTTGCAGACATGTATTCCAAAGAACAGTTACCTCCCATGTTTTACATGGATGTAGTAACAGGAGTCTTCTGTGAATATCTGCATTTTTTGCAAGTGCATCACTGATGACTGATGTTCAATCTGTGATCCACTATAACCCCCAAATCCTTTTCAGCAGTACTACTGCCTAGCCAGGCATACCCCATTTTATATTGTGTCATAAATCAGCTCTTTCCGCACCCAATCAGGTACTATTGGCCCATTGCCTGGAACCAGAAAGCACTATACAGTGCCATCTCCTAGGGGCCAGTGCAGGATTCTTCTACTGTGCAAGACTTGTTGCCAATACAGTCCCCACCTAAAGCCTTATACCTTCCGATCATCTGGGACTAGGTCCTGTAGAACCTTCTTCTTAGGCCACTCCTTGGCCAGCTCTTCATTAGCTAGCTCGTGAAGGTAATAGACTGCCACCTTAGCAGATTTCCTCTGGACTCTGCCTGCATTACTGGGCTCCAGGGTCATTTCCTTCAGACTCTCAGGCCTCCCTTCTTCATGGAGGAAAGTGACCTGCAAGGAAAGGCCAATAGGGTGAGCCCTATTCATCAGATCCCACTTAGACCACACTTGAATGCCTAGAATGATCCATCAAGGTCCTTCAGACCCAGGCCAAAATGCCCTATCCCAGTCACTTCCCCTCAAAAAACTCAGGCACAAGAGTACCCTGGGGGCAGGAAAAGACCGTGAGATCCATGTATCAGGGCAGTTGTGGGAAGAGAGCTCTCTGCCCAGACACGACAAGGCTTGAGAGCACCTGGGCTCAAAAAGTAACCAGAGATATGTGCCTTGGATGGGCTGAGGCACCCCACTCCCATCTCTATTGAACACCTCAGGAATAACATGCATTCTAGTTCCTGACGGATCTCAAATCTGGAGGAGAAAAAAAGAGCAACAAGCAGCTCTCACAGGCATCAAACATGCCAGCACCATACCCCCATGGAGGAGGGTGAGAGGAGCTGGGGACGGGTTTGCTGCCATCCAGACTACTTACGTATGAAGCTCTGTCCTAGCTGCAGAAGTCTCAGTCACCAGGGGAGCATCGCATGTTCCCCTCCCAGATGAAAAGGGATCAGGAAGGAGTATTCTACTAGAAAGGCAGGAGGCGGCTGCCAGCCCCTACCACACTGTGGAGCATGAAACAGACAGGACTAGGCTCTCCAGTGTACAGGGGGCCCAGGAAGATCAAAATCAATTGTCCAAAGTGGGCAAATGAAAGAGTGGTTTGGAGAAAGAGAGGTCACCACCCATAGCTCCTTTTCCCAATAACAACGGCAACTCATACTTACGGGCCCATGCTCAGACCTAAGGTGATAAACAAGCCCTGCCTTTGACTTGTATGCTTTCCCACAGTGACGACATTTCATGGCCATTTTCTCCAACTCAGAGGCCTCCTTCCCACACTTTTTCATATGGTACAGGTATCCCATTATGCTGGTGAAGCTGCCTGTACACCCCTGTCAGTACAGAAGAGAAGAGCATGGAGCCAGAGCTCTGGCACACGTGGCAGACCCCATCCCTGGCTGGCAAAGAACAGAAATAACCCGACTGAATCTGAAGAAGCCAATGGTCCATCCAGGCTGGGCTGATTGCTCTCTAGCAGCTGCCAGTCTCAGATGTTGCACAAAACCCCCATAATGCACATCACAGTGTAATACTGTCCTGGGGAAAGCATTCATGGCTGGATGAAGGAGCCCATTGGTCACTGTTTTCCCTCTTTGCCTCACTGCAGATGCCACCCTTTTAAAGCTACGGAGCTAGGTAACTACTTGGCAGCTGCAGAACATTACAGATGTTCAAAGGGGCAAGAAACCCTCCAATGGCAGTGACCACATGAAGAGATACCAATATTTATGGCACTGTGTAGAACTGGGAAGTGATCACAGCAACGAAGTACAGCTGCCAAAATGAAGTGCTTGGGGACTAGAGGCATCCTACACAATAAATACAGAACACCCACATTAGACCAGTCAGTGGCTTGCTTTAATATCACCTACCAGTGAGCTCCATGGAGTAATTGTGTGCTACATAAACACACATTTACTTTTGTCCATTTGAAATTTTCATCTTACAGTGTAACCCCCACACCTCCTGGGTGCGGTGCTCTGTCCCATCTAGTGGCACTGAGGCCACTTAGAGAGAGATTAATGAGTCTGCTCTACAGCCTTAGCCAACAGCTATATGGCTTTTAGCTCATGCAGTAGAGGCTCATGCCCTAAGCTCCAGAGGTCCCAGGTTTGATCCTGCCCATCGACGACCGGGGTCTGTCAGCATTACAACAGCACCCTCCCATTCTGTTTGATAGGGCAGGATAAAGCATGGTCAGCCCCATCAACACAATCCATTGCTCTAAATACCTCTCATACCTCCTTGAACTCTTCCAAATGAAGCAGCCTCATGACCAGATTTTGCCTGTCGCTACGGCCTATTTACACCATTACATCCCTTAGTGGATTATCACTTGTGTAAAGGAGTTCCTCAGAACAGCCCTATGCCACGCTCTCGCACAGCTGTTAGATCAGGGCAGGGAGTGTCTCTGTAGCACAACGCACTCTGGCTATTCTGGGCCAGGCAGCAATCCTCAGGTAGCCGTGCAAGACTGCTGTAACTCAGAGCTAGGCAGTGGCAGGCACTCAAGACAGACCCAAAATTCAGAGAGTGCACAGGTGGAATAAAGCCACGATATACCACACCTTCCAAGAGGGACAGCACAGAATCTGGCCTGAGTCCTTAATTACTCTTTGGATAGTGAATTCCTCTTTGGATGGCAGATGAAATTCAATGTTGATAAATGCAAAGTAATGCACATTGGAAAACATAATTCCAACTATACATGTAAAATGATGGGGTCTAAATTAGCTTTTACTACTCAAGAAAGATCTTGGAGTCATTGTGGATAGTTCTCTGAAAACATCCACTCAATGTGCAGCAGCAGTCAAAAAAGCGAACAGAATGTTGGAAATCATTAAGAAAGGGATAGATAACAAGACAGAAAATATCATATTGCCTCTATATAAATCCATGGTACGCCCACATCTTGAAAACTGTGTGCAGATGTGGTTGCCCCATCTCAAAAGAGATATATTGGACTTGGAAAAGGTTCAGAAAAGGGCAACAAAAATTATTAGGGGTATGGAACGGCTGCCGTATGAGAAGAGATTAATAAGACTGGGACTTTTCATCATGGAAAAGAGGAGTCTAAGGAGGGATATGATAGAGGTCTATAAAATCATGACTGGTGTTGAGAAAGTAAATAAGGAAGTGTTATTTACTCCTTCTCATAACACAAGGACTAGGGGGCCACCAAATGAAATTAATAGGAAGCAGGTTTAAAACAAACAAAAGGAAGTATTTTTTCACCCAATGCACAGTCAACCTGTGGAACTCCTTGCCTGAGGATGCTGTGAAGGCCAAGACTATAACAGGGTTCAAAAATGAATGAGAAATTCATGGAGGATGGGTCCATCAATGGCTATTAGCCAGGATGGGCAAAGATGGTGTCCCTAGCCTCTGTTTGCCAAAAGCTGGGAATCGGCGACGGGATGGATCACTTGATGATTACCAGTTCTGTTCATTCCCTCTGGGGCACCTGGCATTGTCCACTGTCGGAAGACAGGATACTGGGCTAGATGGACCTTTGGCCTGACCCAGTATGGCCGTTCTTATGGTACCCTCCTTTCAGCCCCACTATAAATAGCTGCCAAATCTTTTTTGTTACCCTTCCTTGGGATTTTACTGTTTTGTTTTAAATGTCTGTTTTGTATTTTCTGAGATAAAATGACGAACACCAAATACAGAATCTTAGGTGTGGACACACTGATGACAGCACAAATATTAGATGTTTGTCCCCTCCCATCCTGCTGTGAACTCAGTGCATGAAAAGTACCAAACTGAGGCCTTGTAAACTGAAACCCTCTTTCTGTAGAGCAGCTACAGCTTGGGGCAAAAAGCTTGCGTACATTGTCTCCTGCCAATTTCTCTCAGCCCTTACCCAGACAGTCCACCCACAGAGGCAAGAGGGGCTGTCAGTCTATATGGCTCATTCAGTTATTGACCTCATTCAGATTGTAGAGGTGGGCTGGGCAATCTGTGGTGAAGTACACACCTGTTCACTGAGAATGGAGCTGTGGCCAAAGTTTATCCAAGCCATAGTACTTCCTAAGTACCTTACTCGCTCTTTTGATCACTGCTGCACATTAAGCAGATGTCTGTTCTTTTCACAATTACCTCTACATCTTCAGTTTTCATTAGATTAATAGAATTTAAGGCCAGAAGGAATCATGATGATCATGTAGTCTGACCTGCACAACATATGCCAGAGATGTTCATGTAGAAATACCTACATCAAGCCCTATAATTTGGGTTGAGCTACAGCCCACCAGAACTGATCACATCCTTAGGTAAGAGGTTACAATAGTTCAGCGAGTGCAGATCATTTAAATCATTCCTTCTAAAAGTACGTCACCTTACATTTGTCTATTTTAATCCCTTCTGCCATTGTGCTGTCCACCTAGTTACCTAACAGCATTAGGTTCTTCTGAAGAGGCCCATTGTCTTAAAACCATAACCAGAGCTTTGGCACAAGTCCCACTGACTGGCTCTTGTAAGTGAGTCCAGCAGACATCATGCAGTGCTCTAAACTCTGGCAAAGGATGCTGCTTCATTTGGGATGCAAGATACTGCAGCTCACCTCCCTCATACACTTTAGCTTTCCCATTCGCTTCAGCACCTTCCGGAGGCGGTCTCGTTCACACGGCTCATCTAATTCACCTCCCTCCTTCACAACTGGCTAAAAGCAAAGCAGAGAGAAAAAAAGGTGAACACAGGGCCCTCAGCACTCTGTAATTCTACATTCTGGGAATTTGCTCCATAATCCAGCTCCGTAATCTAAGCACTTTCTAAATCTATGGCTGTGTAGGAAACCTGCTTTAAGAGGAATCAACTGTTCCATTCATCCCAATGGGGTGATAACTATTTCATAGGTGATCATTTTAACATCCAACTAAAGGCCCCCACCCTGATGAAAAGCCCAGCCAACCTACAGCTGCTGGGAAGAGGAGTATATATAAGGACCTTATAAGGGTGCTATCTGGTTGGGGCTCCATTTCTCATATCAGCCTCTGACTCCCAGGTATCGGATACATTTCAAGTTGCCCAGCTCCCTCTGCCCTCCAGAGAGGAGGAGCATTCTCTTTCTGCTGTTCCCATCCTGTGAGTTAAGGGGCAGGGGAGGCCTCTGTTACTCTGCATGCCTGCAATCCCCCCTCCCTTTTCTTCCATTGTGTCCCCTCCTTCCTTGTGAATAACTTCTGCTGTCTCAGCTGCTGCTCAGAGCTTCTCAAGCAGTAGCAGCATGAAAGTGATACAATTCTTGTTCGTCTCACTGCTGTCCTCAGGGTTCCGAACAGCAGTAACACAACAGACAGTTTTGTTGGCAAACTCTGCAGCACAGATGGACAGCCCTGCATCAGTTATTTATTCTATTAGATACCGTGGTCATAAACACTATATAAAAAGCAATGAGGGATAAATTCACCAAGCTTAGAAACTCTCTCCCACTCTTCTGAGTGACATCTGCCAAAGGGTCTCACTCTTCACTGCCAGACCTAGAGACAGAGGCTTCTTAAAGGTGACTAAAGGGGGAAAATGGGTTATGCCCTTTGTGTATCTTTATGCAGGATAAAGGAGAGGGGGAGGGATAGCTCAGTGGTTTGAGCATTGGCCTGCTAAACCCAGGGTTGTGAGTTCAATCCTTGAGGGGGCCACTTAGGGATCTGGGGCAAAATCAGTACTTGGTCCTGCTAGTGAAGGCAGGGGGCTGGACTCGATGACCTTTCAAGGTCCCTTCCAGTTCTAGGAGATAGGATATCTCCATTAATTTATTTTTATTTTTTTTAGGACTGAGAAAATGTCAGGATCTCAACTAGTCTGCTCTGTAATTGCTGTCTGACTCTGATCTGTATTTTACAAAATCTCCCAGCCCTTTAGTGAAGGGGTGAGAAGTATAGAGTCTTTATTAATATGATCTTTTTTTCTTTTTTTTTTTTTTTTTTTTAAAAACACAGAGTATTTGATAAATGTTAATAACAAATACACACCCGAGTGTTTTAAAGAGTCTGAATAGAAAGGCCTTCCCATCTTTATCAGCTGTCAAATGCCTAGCATTTCTGACATCATAATGCTACTAGTTTTCCAAGTATTCAATCTTTCAGGAAAAACTGGTTAGATAAGACCTGAACTTTTAAAGGTAGAAAATGTTTGACAAACCACCACCTTTCAGTCTCTTTGTGCATCAAGGGAGCAACAAAGGGCTGTCTGGCCTGGAAGGTCAGGGCTTCTGCTAGACGTACAATATCAACGTTACCAGGTTGTTGTGATCTGCCATGATGTGGTATTTCATTCCTGCCAAAGACCTGAGCTGTTTTCCACAGTGATGACATGTGAACATCTCCTACAAGTAAAACAAGAGTGCAGACTGCATTAACACAAACCTCAGATATTGGGTGACTGTTTAGGAGAAATGGGGCAGCAGGCAGGAAGAAAACCTTATATGGGTCAGATAACTGCACAGTGAGAAAAAACCCACCGTGCATTTGGAAGTCAATGAACAGACTTTACAGGGGTATAAAGACTAGAGAAAGAGACAGGGTAAGAAAAAGAGAATGGATAGGTCTCTGCCCACTTTCCTAAAACCACAAGTAACACTGATAGGAAGGAGCAGTTGACTACACTGATTTACAGACAGACAAATGGATACCTCACACATTAACGTGATAGAAGGAAACGGTGTGGTTCTTGTTGGTCTGAAGCTTGTGTACCCGCTGGCAGGTACTGCAGTCATTAAGCTGGGAAAAAGGGAATAGGAGATGGTGCTATTCTGTCTCTCTCACCTGTCTGCAATTCGCCATATGTTTCTTCAGTCCCTCTACAGTCTTCCTGACCACAGCTCTGCATGTTGGACAGGTAACTCTGCCCTTATTTAGGATCTCCAGGTACCACTGTTCCTCCACACTGCCTGTCAGAGCACAGGAATGGAGGCAGAAGAGGAAGAAAATCAAAAACAAAATGAAACACAACATAGGTTTTCTCTAGCTTTGGCAGAAGGGCTTTTCTTTAAGTTAATGGTTTAATTGCATTGCTGGGGAACAAATTCCCCATTCTACTAACTAAGGGGGGCTGAAGGAATGAGGATTTCTATGTGATTTCACTGTACATTAATAAATGGCTTTGCTACTTCATGCAAACATGGAATTGCTCCAGAAGACCATGCCACACAACAGGCAAAGAAAAGCATACGGACAGGTGTGGCCTCCAGTCCCTGGTCCCTTTCTGAGAATTAGCAGAAGTTTCAGCTCCAAGGATTCTCTGGCCTGAAAATGGTTTCAGAGAATGAAAGCCAGAACTGGAATCCTTACGGCAATGTGCTCCAATACAGTTCCTCCTTATCTGTAACTCTAAAAGGTGTCCCTTTGAGACGGGGGGGAGGCTGATGTGACTCAGACCATTAGATGGACCACTGGTCTGACCCAATATGGCCGTTCTTATGTTCTTAATCATAAGGCCTTCTGAATAGGAGCTGGGAGTTGAGTGGGTGTAGTAGACACTCCACTGGTCACTCCGCTGATTGTAACAAAGGCTGAACGTTATATGGTCCAACATTCTAGAACAAGGGTAACAGAGAGTCCTGTGGCACCTTTAAGACTAACAGACGTATTGGAGCATAAGCTTTCGTGGGTGAATACCCACTTCGTCAGACACG